CCCTGATGAGGCCATGAAGTCTGACAGGTTTCAAGGAGATAGGTACAGGGGTTTCCCCAGAGCACTGGGATTGGAAAGTACCTCAGGGAAGGATCACAGTTACTGGCCAGCTATGCAGTCAATATCAGACCAGTCCTTCCCTGCTCTTCGCCCTCCCTCTCCTTAGTTTCTGTTTAGCTGCAAGCAAGCCATCTTCGAAACTCAATACATTTCAAAACTTTTGAAATGTTTCAAGTGCCCTCATTTCATTTCAAAGCTGTTTCGAAGCCTTTAATTTCATTTCAATTTCACTGTTTTGAGCTCAAAACTTGTCGAAACAGCTTCAGAACAAAACACCCATTGAAATTTTGCACAGCCCTGTTGCATAATAGTGCCAATTACAATGCACTGAGTTTGTAGCTGTTAATACAGGTACTAAACTTAATATGCAGTAACAATGGTGCATTAATGTATGAGTAGACATGTCCAGTATCATCAATACACTCCTTCCTTCCTTCCGAGTCTGCCCTGCTAACCTCCTGACTACTCATATTACATGCTTGGTAACTCATAAGAACATTGGTCAAAATCCTGCTATATCCTCAATTTGTTATTCTTTTCCTAGCCCCATCTCATCATATATTATATTTTCATAGAAGACATGACAACTTTAAGGAGGGATAAAGGGTGAGGAAGATTATGGTGTGGTCAGTAAGAATGTGTCATGTCATATATACAAAATATATATATTATATCCTGTGTTTACCTGAATCCAAGATGACCCTGATTTTAAAATAATCCCCCAATAATTAGATTCTATATATGGACAATTTATAAATTTGTTCTAATTTTCTATGTATAGTTTCTAATTATGGGGGGGTTAATTTTAAATTCATTCCACCCACTGGTTCAGTGGGAAAAGCAGTGGCAGACTGTGGGGGAGGGGGCAGGTGTTGTGGAAAGCTGCATCTGTCCCTAAAGCTTCCACCCCCCTGCCTGTCTCCCCTTCTGCTTACCCTTGATCTGATTCTGGCATGGCTCTTGCCCCACTGCAGCACTTCCTACTGTCTAGTTCAAGCAGTTCTCTAAAGAATACTGAGTTAATGAATCGCAACCCCAAATGGGTACCTTTCTCCATGAAATGTCTATGGAGCTAACACATCCCTGTCAGGAGGTGCTATCTCGCCCAGGGGTCTGGTTTTGAATAGGTGGCAAGGCATCACATTTAGGTGCTCCAATTATATTGCAATGTTCCTGCAAGAGTCTTGTGATGTCTAAGTCCTTGGGTATCTATCCTTGAAGCACTATTGCAAGGAAGTGTGCAAATAACCAATGGGTTGTTTTGCAAGTTTTGAATAATTTGCATGCCATTATAAACAACCATTTATAGACTGCTATATGTCTCTTTAGTCCCAGAAAAAAAGTTTGGAATTGACAGGCCCTACATAAATTCAGCCTGTAGCCACCCCCTTTGTGCTGCTCTCCATGCCTTTCCCGAACCAGGATGAACCCAGTATAGGGAAGGCTGACAACAGCCTTGGAGGGATGCGGACAACATTGAAAGGGTCCAGAGGAGGGCCACCCGCATGATCCAGGGACAACAGGGCAGACCCTATGTTGAAAGACTGCGGGACCTAAACCTGTTTAGCCTTCACAAGAGAAGGCTGAGAGAGGACCTGGTGACTGTCTATAAGCTCACTAAGGGGGACCAGAAGAGTTTAGGGAGACACTGTTTCCCCTAGCGCCTCCTGGCATAACAAGGAATAATGGACACAAATCATTGGAAAGTAGGTTTAGATTAGACATCTGCAAGAACTACTTCACAGTTAGGGCGACTAGGAGCTGGAACCAACTTCCAAGGGAAGTGGTGATGGCTCCTACCCTGGGGATCTTTAAGAAGAGGCTTGATGCCTACCTGGCTGGACTCATTTGAGTCCAGTTTTTCTCCCGCCCAGGCAGGGGGTCGGACTTGAAGATCTACAAGGTTCCTTCTGACCCTACTTCTATGATTCTATGATTGCTAGCAGTCCTGGGAGAGGTAAGGCAATGGCACAACAGGGAAACTCCTTGCACCTTCTCCAGACTGGACCAGAGACAAGGGTGAAGCTTCTTGGCCCTCCTCCCCAACTGGCTCCCCCTACCACCTGTCTCCACCCCACACTGCCTATTGCCTCCCTCACTGCCTGTCACCCACCCACCACCTGCCCCACACTGCTCACCACTGTTTTCCACACTGCAGCAGTGGGGGAGTTCTAATTCAGGTGTGGGAAGCAAGAAGGAAGAGGCTTACTTAGCTAAAGGTCTCAAGGAGTGGAGTGGAGGAAACTGTGTACAGGATATCCTCCAATGTGGGAAGTGGGCAAGAAGCAGCAAATTGCTGCTGCACTCCCCTACTAGACTGGACTGGGAGGGTACTGAAGCAGCAGGGAAATGTCCCCTACCTATTCCTCAGAACAGGCAGTCCCTAGAAAGCAGTGACCTACTGCTTCATTTCCCTTCTTGGACCAGGCTAGAAGGAGAGTGCAGCAGCATACAGACATTTATTCTTGTGTTAAAAAACTCTCTCACAGGGGACATCCAGATGTCAACCTGGAAGATCTTTTTCCTAGAGGGACATGTTTCTCCAAGTAGAATTTCAATGAATGCTTGTACACACACAGTTTCTACTGGAAGACTGGTGGTTCTCCTGGTAGAAAGATAATGCCTGTACATGGCCTTAAAGATCAAGTGATTCATAAAGACACAAGCTTTTGTAGGCAACAACCTACTTCATCAGTTATCCTGCCCTACATTTAGACTCTAGACTAACACAGCTAACTACCTCTGTCATTACTTGAAATTTAATCTGGGTTCCCGTAACAATAACAGAGATGACTCAGTCACTATTGCCTATGCCAGGGGTATGAAAAGAGGAGCCATGTTGACTGGCCTACAGGGCTCCAAAATGGCCTGAGAATTTAGGATCAAAGCAAGTAGGATATGGAGGCCCATTGGGAATTCACATTAGTGGTGGGGGCAAGTGATGACTGCATTAACCCCTGCAGAAGCAGTCCCATGATTCAGATCTGGCCCAAGGGGCCTGGGTTAGTTTGACACTCATGGCCTATGCAATCTTTGATTTCCCAGTTAAACTGCCAGCTAGTGCAAAAGTAATGCATTTGTGATGTGGGAGTTGAAACTGAAACCCAAACCTATTTTAGTCAAGGGGACATATCCATTAGCTGTAAAGAATATTCATTCTTCTTGCTCCTTACCACCACCAAATTCAGCTATACTCTCAAGTCCATTGCATTCCCTCATATGGATATAACAATTGTCCATATTAGTTATGTGCCTCCAGATTTAATTCTACTCACAGTTAATCAAATCCCTTCCTCTTCCAAAAATTATTCAACTTTACTCACTCTGTGTTTAATTTTTCTGCATTGTCCAAAACACCTGTGCATGGAGCCTGTACCAGCACTGGCAAGTTTCAATATTCCTGTTTTAAATAGAGATGGTCAAAATGCAATGAAAATAGTAAACAATATGAGGCCCTCATACCATGAAGAAATAAAATGGCAAGATTTTTCTTCCTTTTACAGAAGCTTTTAAAATACTCCCACAGCCTGAGCCAAGAAATGGCTGTTACCATTTTGAAAATGGAACCTTGCTTAAATTTCCTGTCTCCCACAAAGTGAACTTTGCAACAGTTCCACACAAACATTTTAAAATTTACAGTGCTGCATATGTCCATTGATAAGTCATTGTATGTAGTACAGCATAATTTCTTCAGCTGCAGAAGCAAAGGAAGGTACACAAAGCAGGGTGGCCAATAACTAATCTTCAGAAGCTAAATGCAAAGGAATATGCCTTCACCTTTGTGACTTAGGACCACTGAAACCACAGAAAGATTATAAGGAACTTTCACCTCTTTGGGGGGTTTTCAAATGAGTCCCTAATTAAAAACGAATATTGTTGATTATATAGGTCTGCTATTACAGAATATTTCAAAAGTAGGAACTCACATTTTTTTTTAATGTACTGAGAGGTGTAGGAAGGCTATTTCCTTTTTATTGATGTTTTAAGGTTAGCTGATTACATTCACCAGTTTGTATCACCAGGTTTATTTCATAGAACAAACCCAGAAATGTGCATATGTAAATTCAGTATACATGGAAGCAGAACTGCTGTGACCAACTGATAATGTGGGTAGTTTCTGTGTCTTTCAAAGACAGCTTTTTCAACAGTATTCTTCAGTCCTGACATTAAAACACATTTTTTTCTACTTCTGGTCTTCTCAAGGACAAAGACTTGCAATTATGACAACATTGTAAAAATCCATGTGGTATTTTGGGGATAGACATAGATACCCCATGGAGATTCTGTTCAGAGCACCAGACTTATTTGTAAACTAACCTATAATTTGCAAACTGATCTCCAAAGAGAACAAAATTGTCTGTAATATTTAGCCTGAGTTTCACATGCATATCATACAAAGTTTTAGGTTCAAGATGCAATGCAACATAACACATACTTAGCAAAGTTCAGAGAAGGTTGGACATTATATCCTGTTACCCTAGGCTAACATGTTTTTTCTTTTATTATTCCTTTTTCTGAGATCACCAAACAAACCTTGGTTCTGAAAAAGAGAGCTCAAGAGAGAAAGCTATAGACAATCCTTGGGGTTTGAGTTGTCACGATTTTAGATAATAGCTAAAAAAAAGTTATTAGTGCAATTGGGCGTGATTATTAGCGTTAATAATAGGATGTGTAATTCATATTGTAGACCATGGAATTTCAACCTGGGGTTGTGTCTCAGTTGCTAGAAGTTTCAAAAGACATTTTTCTCTTTATTACCAGATAAAAGAGAGATTCTAAAATCTTGTTCCAACTATAACATAGGTTACAATATAGAAACGGCTAAGAACAAGTGATATATACATGCATCCAGTTGGGACATTACAAAGATCAACAAGTAATTTAATTTAGGTCAACAGAAAGATATTATATGGCACCAATTTTCAGTCATTAGTAAATGAAGATATACTAACTTGAAAAACTTTGGTTAATTTTTTTGTTCTCAGTTTTCTATTGTACCATTGTTGAATGTTAAAACAATTCCTGTGTGCTCTTTTTTGCTCTTTCAGTCCATTACACAAGCACTTCTGACCTAAAATTGAAGAAATGTTACCAGTGGGTGAATTTATATGAATTACATTTGTTTTTCCATTTTTCCAGCCACGTAACTCCTGTTAATCTCTGTTACACATTAACGAAGAATGCTTGTCTTCCTGATCCCTCACTGGTTGCGATAAAAAAGAAACTAGTTTTTGCAGTTAGTCCTAGCTTTTAAAAGGCTGTTGCTTGTTTCAAAGTGACCACAGAATGAACGGGTGACAACCAGCTGTATCAACAAAATTAAGGAAGCAGTCAGCATTTCCAGCTAGACCAGTAATGAGATCCAATTAAACAAACCACAACGCCTGAAAGAATATATTATAAGGGAAGACCTTAAATTAAATTATCCAAATATATCTTTATTTTAAAACAGGGGCCAGCAACGTTTTTGAAGCTGCAAGCTAGAACAACCCAGCCCCAGTCCATTGTAGGCCAGGTGACCTCAGTGGTATGTCAGCAGTAAGGTTGTCCTTCCCTGTATTCCCACTGCAGTCACAAAGCTGGAAGTTATGCTTGCACTCCCACTGCTTCTCTCAGCATCATGATCCCTGGCTATGGTGTGAGTGCAGCTCACAGCTGAAAGTGAGCTGAGGCCAGGGAGTGGGAAGCTGTGCCTGTACCACTTCTTTCTGCTTCTCCTTCCCTCTTCCACTCTCCTTCCTTCCCCCAGGGCTGCAGTGCAAGTCCAGTTTCCAGTCAGAGCAGAGCTGTACCAGGACAGGGAACTCTTCCATGCTGCTCCTACTTCTCCCCCTTTCCCCCCACCCTATATATCCCAGCTCTGGTACAGCTCTTCTCTGGCTGGAAACTGCAGCCTTGGGGAGGAGGGAAGGGGGAGTGAAGAGGAAGTGGTAGCTACATGGGTGCAGCTTCCAACTCCCCACTCCTGTGCAGCTCCCCTTTAGCTGGAAGCTGTGCCTATGCTGCAGCCTTAGGCTAGGGACAGAAGTTACACATAAACCAGTTTAATGGATCAGAAACTGGCTTAAACTTGTAAAAGAACATAAGTACAGTACACATAAACCTGTTTCAAAATGGCCAAAACTGGTTTAAGATAAACCTGGTTGAATATGCTATCAGACTTAACTGATTTAGGTCAAACTGGTTTATGCAAATTCTGTCCCAGACCCCTTCCTGGTTTAAGTTAAACCAGAGTCCTCCAGCACCCCAGCAGGCTCTGAAGCCCTGGGATGGGCTGTGCTCTCTTCTCCAGAGAGCAGGGCTGGCCCCTCCCCTCTGCTGTCTAGCATGAGCAGGGGCAGGGGTGTGACTAAATGCATCACAGCATGGCCCTGTTAGGCAAAGTGGGCAGAGAGAGGATTAATTCCCTCCTCTCCCTCCCCTCCACTGCAGAAGGTCTGCCTGTCTGCAAATGATCAGACAAGGCAGAGGTG